ACTGGCCCGATTGTTCTCAGATTTTGTATTAGGAGTATCATGTAGATGGTAAAACGCCAACCAAAAATTGGACAATCATCCCCACCAACAATTTGATAACGTCATCTCCAAAATTAACAATAGTGAATTTATTCTGATTTTTTAATGAATCAGGCTTTTTATTTTACTGATTAAATCAAGAACGACTCATTTCATTTTCTCGAAAACTTGGGAATGCAGTACTGTTATTATTAGCATTAAACTCTATCTATCCAAATCGCCATATGTGTCCTTGCAAAAATGTTGATGACGTCATCACAAAAATTTGTAATGAAAAAAAAATGCGTAGCACGTTTCTTTACATTTAGTTTAACATTATGTATAATCGAAAAATTGGAAAGAAATACCGAATCAAGTAGAAAAATTATAGAATTGTCAAAATTATGAAGTCGAAAAACTGTAACGAAAGATCGGAAAATTGAAGAATTAAATATAGAGCAATTGACAAATTAAAATCAAAAAATTTAAAACCGAAAAATTGATAAATCAAAAAGAACATTGAAACATCGGAAAATTAAAAAAATGAAGAAAATAAAAACCGAAACAAAAATTGCAAATCGAAAAATATCAAAAAACCGAAAATTTTAAAGTTGAACAAATTAAAGAATCGCAATTTGTCGATTCTTTAATTCACTTGAAACAGTCTTGGGGTCACAAGAATTTGAAATAAATCTGGCGCCTGAAAGCTTATTTTTAAGAATTTGAATCAAACTTGGGGTTCCGAGTGTCTTGAGAAATGTGAAATGACAAATGTGAAAAGATAAATGTGAAATGTGAATTGTGAAATGTGAAATGCGTTAAATGTGAAATGTGAAATGTGAAAGGTGAAATGTAAAATCTGTGTTCACTTTCTTCGATAACTCCAATGGTTTTTCCAGAATCGTGCTTTAAAAAGCACAATTCTACATACACCAATTTTCGACTAATTTTCAACGAAATTTATGAAATTTCACTAAATTCATTTTCTTGTAGATTTCGGGCCGCAGAAGTCACTTCCGCAAACATTTCTAAAAAAATATTGCTCCGTTACTTTAAACATGCTATATTTTTGAAATTAGCACGTCGGGATCTCTGAATTTTTTCAGAATGTTTAGACAACTTTTTCAAAAATGAAATTTTACACTATGGTATTACTTGCCAAATAATCTACGCTCTAAGAAAATAAAAGGCAGGTGGGCCAGGCTAGTATTTGCCAAAATAAGACTCATATTGACAAATGACCTACTCTTCTAGGAAAAGATACTAAACCCGCCCACCCACCCTTTATTTTTTTGGAAGAGTAGGTCATCTGCCAAAATCAATCTTTTTTTGGCAAGTATGAGACTGATTTTTGTAAATGACATATCCTCTTAGAAAATAAGGGTAGGTGGGTGGGGCTAGGACTTGTCAAGATGAGACTGATTTTCGCAGCTGACCCACTCTTCTAAGAAAATAAAGGGTGGGTGGGCGGGGGGCTAGTACTTGCCAAGTAAAGATTGATTTTGGCAGATGACTTATTCTTCTAAGAAAATAAAGGCTGGGTGGGTGGCGCTAATACTTGCTAAAAATAAAAAAAAAATAAAAATCAAAAACTGACAAATTGAAAAGTTTAATACATGAGAAATCGGAAAATTATACAACTTTTTAATCGGAAGATCAAAAACTGAAATATCCAAAAACTGAAAAAAAAACAAATCTTATAAAATCGAATACGAAATTCCAGTTTTCAATTTTGTTTAGTTTTTAGATTTTTCAACTTTTCAATATTTCATTTGATAATAATTTGTTTGACAATTTTGCAGTTTTTAATTCCAATCTTTTGATTTTTCAAGTTTTAACATTACGATTTTGGAATTTTTGATTTTTAATTTTTCAAGTTCTCAAGTTAAAATCTTTCCTTTTCACGATTTGTCATTTTTCGATTTTTTAACCATAAGAACAAATTTATTCGAACCGAAATTTTGTAAAATCGAAAAATCCAAAAATTGAAAATTAGAAACAAAATTACCTCCCTTATGCAAATTTCGACCCATTCTCGACGATTTTCGAAATTTAACTAAATACATCCATGTAGATTTCGGGCCGCAGAAGTCACTTCTGGCTTCATTTCTTCGATAACTCAAACCATTTTTTCCAGAATCGTGGACTGAAATATCGCAATTTTAAAAAAATTCAAAACATTCGAATTTCACACCGAATTTTCCGAAAATATTGCTACGTTACCTTAAACATGCTATATTTTTGAAATCAGCACGTCGGGATCTCTGAATTTTTCAGAATTTTTAGACAAGTTTTTCAAAAATTAAATTTTACATTATAGTAGTACTTGCCAAATAATCTACCCTCTAAGAAAATAAAAGGCGGGTGGGCCAGGCTAGTATTGGCCACAATAAGACTCATATTGACAAATGACCTACTCTTCTAGGAAAAGATACTAAACCCGCTCACCCACCCTTTATTTTCTTGGAAGAGTAGGTCATCTGCCAAAATCAATCTTATATTGGCAAGTATGAGACTGATTTTTGCAAATGACATATCCTCTAAGAAAATAAGGGTGGGTGGGCGGGGATAGGACTTGTCAAGATAAGACTGATTTTCGTAGATGATCCACTCTTCTAAGAAAATAAAGGGTGGGTGGGCGGGGGGCTAGTACTTGCCAAGAAAAGATTGATTTTGGCAGATGACTTATTCTTCTAAGAAAATAAAGGCCGGGGGGGGTGGCCCTAGTACTCGCTAAAAATAAAAAAAAAATAAAAATCAAAAAATGACATATTGAAAAATTGAATAAATGAGAAATCGGAAAATTATACAACTGTTTAATCGGAATATCAAAAACTGAAATATCGAAAAACTGAAAAAAAAACATTTTTCGATTTTTTAACCAAAAGAACAAATTTATTCAAACCGAAATTTTGTAAAATCGAAAAATCCAAAAATTGAAAATTAGAAACAAAATTACCTCCCTTATGCAAATTTCGAACCATTCTCGAGTATTTTCGAAATTCAACTAAATACTTCCATGTAGATTTTGGGCCGCAAAAGTCACTTCTGGCTTCATTTCTTTGATAACTCCAATGGTTTTTCCAGAATCGTGCTTTAAAAAGCACAAATATACGCAAAATATGACCAATTTTCGACTAATTTTCATCAAAATTTTCGAAATTTTATAAAATACATTTTCTTGTAGATTTCGGGCAGTAGAAGTCACTTTTGCAAATATTTCTTCGATAACTCGAATCGTTTTCACAGAATCGCCCTTTGAAATATAGATTTAATGCAATTTACCGACCAATTTTCCACCAATTTTCATCAAAATTTTCGTAATTTTACAAAATACATTTTCTTGTAGATTTCGGGCCGTTGAAGTCACTTCTGCAAACATTTCCCCGATAACTCGAATCGTTTTCCCAGAATCGCTCTTTGAAATATAGATTTAATGCAATTTACCGACCAATTTTCCACCAATTTTCAACAAAATTTTCGAAATTTTACAAAATACATTTTCTTGTAGATTTAGGGCCGCAGAAGTCATTTCCGCAAACATTTCTTCGATAACTCGATTGGTTTCCCAGAATCGCCCTTTGAAATATAGATTTAATGCAATTTACCGAACAATTTTCATCAAAATTTTCGTAATTTTACAAAATACATTTTCTTGTAGATTTCGGACCGTTGATCTCACTTCTGCAAACATTTCCCCGATAACTCGAATCGTTTTCCCAGAATCGCCTTTTGAAATATACATTTAATGCAATTTACCGACCAATTTTCCACCAATTTTCAACAAAATTTTCGAAATTTTACAAAATACATTTTCTTGTAGATTTCGGACCGTAGAAGTCACTTCCGCAAAGATTTCTTCGATAACTCGAATCGTTTTCCCAAAATCGCCCTTTGAAATAACGATTTAATGCAATTTACCGACCAATGTTCAACAAAATTTTCGAAATTTTAGAAAATACATTTTCTTGTTGATTTCCGGCCGTAGAAGTCACTGCAGCTTTCAATACTTCGATAGCTCCTATGGTTTTTCCAGAATCGTTTTTTGAAGAGTGTCTTTTTTGAGAATTTGAAACAATTTAGAGCCCCGAGTGTTCCTTTTACTAAGAAATTGAAATGAATTGGAGGCCCTGAGTGTCTGTTTTAAAAAAATGAAACAATCTTGTAGCCCCAAGTGTCTTTTTTACGAACATGAAACAATTTGGAGCTTCAAGTGTCTTCTTTCTTAAAGAATTTGAAACAATCTTGGAGCTCGGAGTGTCTTTTATAAAAATGTGAAACAAACTTGGGGCCCCAATTCTTTCCCAAAGTATTTAAAACAACTGAAAAATTAAAAATTGAATATTCGGGAAATTTTAAACCGAAAAATTGCAAAATTAAAAATTGAAAACTCAAGAAGTGTAAATCGAAAAACCGAAGAAACAAAAATTGAAAAATCGGAAAATGGCAAATCGAGAAATTTAAAACAAAAATAGCAAACAATGTTTATAATTTTTCAAAGAAGCAAGATTTATTGGGCTGACTGAAGCCACGAAAATAAATCAAATACAAGATAACTTGAAAATAACAATAACAGAGATGATACTAAAATGTACTTACAACAATAAGTCACTTGGAACTTATACTTTAATTATTTACACATTTTGGCTTTTCACAATTTTTGCAACCACAAAGTCGCTAAATCTTTAACCAACCAACGTTCTAAAGTGCGTATATAAAATAATAACTACTGCTAAGTAAACATCTTAAGTGATGTTGAATGAAATAGCAGAAATTGTTGCGTGGAAGATCACCAAATTATAGTATTATTTCAGTTATGTAATAAAGTATATAATTATGTAATAATGGCACTTAAACGCTTTTAAATTTGTCTTCATTCATACTGTTTGTCTTCAACATTTGCAAGAAACGTTTGTCTTCCATGTCAGTGTGTCAGTTTTTTAATACATTTTTTTTTTTATTTTGTTGACTCAAACGCAAAATCAAGATATTTATACATAATGATGTGCTTTATTCAAAAAACGTTACAAAACAAACATTTGGAGTTGTACAAAAATTTTGAGTGTACTACTCGTGTGTTAAAATACTGCGTCGCCTGCTAAGTACACAAATAACGATTACCTAATTCATCATTTATGTATGCACAATAAGTAATACCTTTTTTTTAATATACACAGATACAGTTAATGTACATTCTAATCATACACTCACGTATTACGTTATCTCCTGCCTTTAACAATCACGTGTACTAATTTTCTTCTATAAAATTTTTCACTGAATAGAAATGAATTGCGAATTTCTACTGCGTCAAGAATTTTCTATTTATACTTTCCTCGCCACCACAATCCATTAAGATCGTTATTCCTACGATTCTCTGCTTATTTACAAATTAAAATAACAAACATCTTCTTAAATAATATTACATGTTTATTCGACTTTGTACAATGGTTCTGACATTACACACCTTTCATACGCTGTATAAAAACATGACTTAGGTTATGAACGCATATATCGTGTAAATACAACACTAGCTTAACAGAATTGGTAAAAAATTAAATACATTTACTTAACAGCAAATCCTATACTAATTGCACATGTTTATGGTCTTTGACTTCCATTCATCCTATCATACAAGAACACGTCGTCAGTCCGGGCCTGTTTCTCGACTGAACGTAATACTAGGCTCGAAGCACTATTATACCAAGTCTCAGGCAGTGACTTATCACTTTTACATCACTTGTTACTAACTATCACTGTTGCACTTCACACACAAAGTAAGTTTCGAACGAACATGGGGAGTCGTTCCATTTGAGGCCCTTGCCGTCGCGGTTCCAGAGTTCCAGGCAGTTTTCCTCTTCCCCGTTTTCGTACTGGAAGTTGTTAGGCTCGCCGGCGTTCCAGTTGGTGAAGGTGATGGGCCGGCCCGTGGACATCCAGAAGAAGTGGCCTTCGTCGGCCAAGTCGGTGCCGGAAGTCCAGAAGTGCTCATGGCCCAAGCCTTAAACCAAAAAAAGAACTGTTAAAGAGATTTTTTTCATTAGAATTCTGCTTATTCTACTCTCTGGCAAAAAAACTTGGACTAAGGAGTGGAAACACTTGTTACCAATATCCAACAAGGTGAATGGAATTCAAACAACAACCAAGATGGGAAAATCTACATACAAAAATGACTTTATTAACTCTTACTTAAGAAAACTGACGCACGATGGCACTATATATAGTGATTTTCCTTGTACTACCCCTGGGATTTAAAAGATCGATAATTATAAAAATAAAAAATGAGCTATGGGTAAAAAAATGAAAGATTGGTCGAACGTTTGGAGAGTGCAATATAGCCATCTAAAACCAAAAAAAAAAGAATATCAAGAACCTAGAAAAACGGTATAAGTTTTCGAAGAAATGAGGCCGAAACCAATTTCTGGGGATCGAAATCTATAATAAAATGTCTTTGGTTAAACTGTCGAAAAGTAGCTGAAATTTTGATTATTATTGAAAAATTGTCCTTTTGAAAGAGTTGCCAAAAAATTCTGAAAGATTTGGAAATGTTCGGTTAATTTTTTTAAATCAAAAAAATTGCTGTATGTATTTCAGTGGACGATTTTCTAAAAATCGAGGAAATGAAACCCAAACCAATTTCTGGAGGTTAAAATCTATAAGGAAATGCTTTAGTTAAATTTTGAAAGTTGTTGAAAAGTGGCCGAAATTTTCCTTAGTACTGGAAAATTTTACGTTTTGAAAAAGTTGCCAAAAAAAATTCTGGGATAGAGATTTCGTCTTACTAATTCCGAAAACATAACGTATTTATGGTCTTGGTGGAAGATTTGAGAAAAATTAGATTTGATTTTTTTTTTATAAAATCAAAAAATTTCAGTATTTCAGGGGGCGATTCTGGAAAAATGGTAAATATAAGCCATCGAAAAAAGTTCTTTGGTTAAATGTCGAAAATTGTCGAAAAATGTACGAAATTTTCATAGGCAACCCGAGGTGAAAAATTTTGCTTTTTGAAAAAGTTGTAAAAAATTCCCAAAAAAATTCTGGGATAAAGATTTCGTGGTGCTGATTCTAAAAACACAATGTATTTATGCCTCGGTGGAAGATTTAAAAAAAGAATCGATTTGAAATTTTTTTTTTTTATATCCAAAAAAACTACAATATTTCGGAGGGCAATTCTGGAAAAATGGAACAAGTTATCGGAGAAATGAGGCCGAAACCAACTTGTGGAGGTCGAAATCTATAGAAAAATGTGTGGTTAAATTTCAAAAATTATACAAAATTGGTTGAAATTTCATATTGAAAATTTTGTTTTTTGAAAGAGTTGTCGAAAAAATTCCCAAAAAATTCGGGTATACAGAATTTGTCGTGCTAATTCCGAAAATATAGCCTATTTATCTCCTGGAAGATTTGCAAAAAATTAGATTTAAAATATTTTTTTAATAAATCCAAAAAACCGCAACACTTCATAGGGCGATTCTGGAAAAATGGTATAAGTTATAGCAGAAATGAGGCCGAAACTAACTTCTGCAGATCGAAATCTATAAGAAAATGTCTTTAGTTAAATATCAAAAATTGCAGAAAATTATTCGATAATTTCATACGTAAATGAGGGTACTGAAAAGTTTTTCTTTTAAAAAAAGTTGACAAAAAATTCCCCAAAAATTCACGGGTTTACTTGGATTTCGTCGTGCTGATTCCAGAAATGTAGCCTGTTTATGCTTTTGGTGCAAAATTTGAAAATATTCGGTTTAAAAATATTTTTTTCTTAAATCTAAAAAATGGTAATATTTCACTGGGAGATTTTGTAAAAACTTCTGTAGGTCGAAATCTATTAGAAAATGTCGAAAACTTTTAAAAAATTGGCTGAAATTTTCATAGGTTTCATTGAAAAATTTTGTTTTTTGAAAAAGTTGCCAAAAAAATTTGCAAAAAAATCTGGGATGTAGATTTCGTGGTGCTGATTCTATAAAGATAACGTATTTATGCTCTTAGTGGAAGATTTGCAAAAAAATAAATCGATTTGAAATATTTTTTTTTTATAAAATACAAAAACTGCAATATTTCAGAGGGATATAATTCTAGAAAAATGGTATACATTAACGCAGAAATGAGGTAGAAATCAACTTCTGGAGGTCGAAATCTATAGAAAAATGCCTCTAGTTAATTTTCAAAAATTGTCAAAAATTGGTCGAAATTTTTTTGTAGGTGATGTGGAAAAAATTTGTTTTTTGAAAAAGTTATCAAAAAAATTGATTTGAAATAATTTTTTATAAAGTCAAAAATATTGCCATATTTCAGAGGGCGATTCTGGAAAAATGGTATATGTTATCGAAGAAATGAAGCCGAAACTAACTTCTAGAGGTTGAAATCGATAAGAAAATATCTTTAGTTAAATTTCGAAAATTGTTGAAAAGTGGTCGAAAAATGTTGCTTTTTGAAAAAGTTGCCAAAAAATTCCCAAAAAATTCTGGGGCGGAGATTTCGTTCGGTTGATTCTAAAAACATATTATTAAATCCAAAAAATTGGAATATTTCATAAGTCGATTCTGGAAAAATGGTATATATAAGTTATTGCAGAAATGAAACCGAAACCAACATCTGAAAGTCAAAATTTATAGGAAAATGTCTTTGGTTAAATTCCGAAAATTGGCGAAAATTGGTCGAAATTTTCATGTGAGAGTATTAAAAAATTTTGCTTTTTGAAAAAGTTGCCAAAAAATTCCCAAAACACTCTGGGATACAGATTTCGTCGTGCTGATTCTAAAAACATAACGTATTTATGCTCTCGGTGGAAGATTTGAAAATAAAATTTGATTTGAAATATTTTTGTTTATAAAATTATAAAAATTGCAATATTTCAGATGACAATTGTGGAAGTTAACGCAGAAATAAGACAGAAATCAACTTCTGGAGGTCGAGATCTATAGAAAAATGTCTCTACTTAAATTTCAAAAATTGTCGAAAATTGGTCGAAATTTCATTGGTGATATGAAAAAATTTTGTTTTTTGAAAAAGTTGTCAGAATTATCCCCAAAAAATTCGGGAATACAGATTTTGTCCTGCTAATTCCGAAAACATAGCGTATTTATCTCCTGCTGGAATATTTGCAAAAAAATCGATTTGATACAATTTTTTTATAAAATCCAAAAAATTGCAATATTTCAGTAGGAAATTCTCTGGAAGAATGGTATAAGTTATCGAAGAAATGAGGCCGAAACTAACTTCTGGATGTCGAAAAGTAGTCGAAATTTTCATAGGTATATATTGAAAAATTTTGCTTGTTGAAAAAGTTGCCAAAAAATTCCCAAAAAACTCCGGGATACCGATTTCGTCGTGTTGATTCTAAAAACATGACGTATTTATGCTCTCGGTGGAAGAATTGAAAACAAAATTGGATTTGAAATAATTTTTTTCTATAAAATTCAAAATACTGCAATATTTCAGAGGATAATTCTGGAAAAATGGTATAAGTTAACGCAGAAATGTGACAGAAACCAACTCTTGGAGGTCGAGATCTATAGAAAAATGTCTCTAATTAAATTTCAAAAATTGTCGAAAATTGATCGAAATTTCATATGTAAGTGACATGGAAAAATTTTGTTCTTTAAAAAAGTTGTCAAAAATATTCCCAAAAAATTCGGGGATACAGATTTCGCCCTTCTAATCTCGAAAACAGCGTATTTATCTCCCGCTGGAAGATTTGAAAAAAATTATTATTATAAAAAATTATATTATAAAATCCAAAAACTGCAATACTTCATAGGGCGATTCTGGAAAAATGGTATAAGTTAACACAGAAATGAGGCCGAAACTAACTTCTGCAGATCGAAATCTATAAGAAAATGTCTTTAGTTAAATATGAAAAATTGTAGAAAATTGGTCGAAATTTTCATATGCAAGTGAGGGTACTGAAAAGTTTTTCTTTTAAAAAAGTTGCCAAAAAATTTCCCAAAAATTCCAAAAATGTAGCCCCTTTATGCTTTTCATCCAAAATATTCAGTTTAAAAATATTTTTTTCTTAAATCCAAAAAATTTCAACATTTCATTGGGAGATTCTGTAAAAATGGTATAAGTCATCGAAGAAACAAGGCCGAAACCAAATTCTGGAGGTCGAAATCTGTAAGAAAATGTCTTTAGTTACATGTCGAAAAATTTTCGAAAAGTGGCCAAAATTTCATACGCAAGTGATAGTGAAAAATTTTGTTTTTTAAAAAAGTTGGCAAAAAAATTCCCAAAAAATTCGGGGATACAAATTTTCTCGTGCTAATTCCGAAAACAGCGTATTTATGCCCTCTGTGAAAAATCTGAAAAAAATTGATTTGAAATAATTTTTTATAGAATCCAAAAAAATGCTGTATTTCAGAGGGCGATTCTGGAAAAATGCTATAAGTTATCGAAGAAGTGAGACCGAAAATTAAACTCTGAAGCTCGAAATCGATAAGAAAATGTCAGTTAAATTTAGAAAATTGTCGAAAAGTGACCCAAATTTTCAGTGTGGGTATTGCAAAATTTTGCTCTTTCGGTGCAAATTTGAAAATACTCAGTTTGAAAATAATTGTTTCTTTAAATCCAAAAAATTGCAATATTTCAGTGGGAGATTTTGGAAAAGTGGTATAAATTATCGCAGACATGAGGCTGATATCAACTTCTGAAAATCGAAATCTATAAGAAAATGAATTTACTTACATTTCGAAAATTTGGCGAAAATTGGTCGAAATTTTCATATGTAGGTGAAGACTTGAAAAATTTTGCGTTTTGAAAAAATTACCAAAAAATTCTGCGATATAAATTTCGTCATGTTGAGTCCAAAAAGATAACGTGGAAAATTTGAAAAAAATTTGATTTGAAACAAGTTTTTTATAAAAATCCAAAAATTGGATTCTGGAAAAATTGGTTAAGTTATCGCAGAAATGAGCCCAAAGCCAACGTCTGGAGGTCGAGATCCATGAAAAAGGTCTTTAATTAAATGTCGAAAATGCCGAAATTTTCGTGGGTGATTGAAACTTTTTTTTTGAAAAAATTGCCAAAAAAATCCCAAAAAAATCTGGGATATAGATTTCGTCGTGCTGATTCTAAAAACATAACGTAGGTATTTATGCTCCGTGTGGAAGATTTGAAAAAAAAATTATTTGAAATATTTTTTTCTTTAAATCCAAAAAATTTCAAAATTTCAGAGGGCGATTCTGGAAAAATGGTATAAGTTATTGCAGAAGATAATGAAAAGTTTTGCTTTTTGAAAAAGTTGCCGAAAAATGTCTCAAAAATTCTGGGATATACTTAGATTTCGTTGTGCTGATTCCAAAAATGTAGCCTGTCTATGCTCTCAGTGGGAGATTTTGAAAAAATGGTATAAGCCATCAAAAAAATGAGCCCGAAACTAACGTCTAGAGCTCCAGATCTATGAAGAAATGTCTTTGGTTAAATGTTGAAAATTGTAGAAAAGTAGCCAAAATTTTCATAGGGTTTGAAAAATTTTGCTTTTTGAAAAAGTTGCCAAAAAATTTCCAAAAAAATATTTTGGAATACAGTTTTCGTCATGCTGATTTTAAAAACATAGCGTATTTATGATCTCGGTAGAAAATTTGAAAAAAAGAAAAATGTCTTTATTCAAATTTCCAGAAATGTGGAAAATTGGTCGAAATTTTCATGTGTAAGTGAAAAGTTTCTCTGTTGAAAAAGTTGCCAAAAAATTTCCAAAAAATTCCTGCATATGGATTTCGCCACGCTGATTCCAAAAATTTAGCCTGTTTATGCTGTTGGTGCAAGATTTGAAAATATTTAGTTTGGCAAAAATTCGGGCTTAAATCCAAAAAATATTTTTCGAAAATTTGTCGAAATTTTCATATGTAGGTGAAGGTATTGAAAAGTTTTTCTTTTGAAAAAGCTGCCAAAACATTCGCTAAAAAATTCACGGGTTTACTGTAGCGTGTTTATGCTCTCGGTCGAAGATTTCAAAAATAATTTTTTCTTAAATCGAAAAAATTCGAATATTTCAGTGGAAGATTTTGTAAAAATGGTTATAAGCCATCGAAAAAATGGGGCCGAAACTAACTGTTGCAGGTCGAAATCTATAGAAAAATGTTTTCAATTAAATTTCCAAAATTGTTGAAAATTAGACAAAATTACATATGTAGGTGAGCGTAATGGAAAGTTTTTTTTGAATAAGTTTCCAAATAGTTCCTGTATATTGATTTCATTGCGTTGATTCCAAAAATGTAGCCTCTTTATGCTCTCAGTACAAGATTGAAAATATTCGGTTTTAAAATAATCTTTTCTTTAAATCCGAAAATTGTAATATTTCAGTGGGAGATTCTGATAAAATGGTAAAATGGTATAAGTCATCCAAAAAATGAGGTCAAAACCAACTCTGGATGTCGAAATTTATAGGAAAATGTCTTTGGTCAAATTTCGAAAATTGGTCACAATTTTCACATGAAGGTATGATTGTTAAAAAATTTGATTTTTGAAAAAATTGCCAAAAAATTTCTCAAAAAATTATAAGATACAGATTTCGTTGTGCTAATTCCAAAACATAGCGATTTATGCTCTGGGTGGAAGATCTGAAACAAATTCGATTTGAAATAATTTTTTATAAAATCCAAAAAATTGCTGTATTTCGAAATCTATAAGAAAATGTCTAAAAGTGGCCGAAATTTTCATATTGAAAAATTTTGCTTTTTATAAACTTGTCAAAAAATCTCAAAAAATTCTGGGATACAGATTTCGTCATGTTTCACTGAAGGATTATGTAAAAATGCCATCAAAGAAATGGGCTCTAGACTAACTTCTGGAGGCCGAAATTTATAGGAAATGTCTTTGGTTAAATTTCGAAAATTGTCGAAAATTCGTCGAAATTTTTATATGTATAATTGTGTACTGACTGACATGGAAAGTGCAACACGAAAAAATAATTTTTTTCAACTGATTTTTATACCACGTGTTGGTCTTTATTAAAACCCAAGTACTTGTGTAGTTGTAGTTCCCAATATATGACTGATTTTGGAAAATAAAATACTCTTTAAAAACATAAGGGGGTGGGTTAGCTAATACTTCCTAAGATAAGACTGATTTTGGCAAATGACATACCCTCTAAGAAAATAAAGGGCGGTGGGCGGGGCTAGTTTTTGATAAGATAAGATCGATTTTCGCAAATGATATATCCTCTAAGAAAATAAAGGGCGGCTTTTCTTACAGGATATGTCATTTGCCAAAATCAGTTTTATCTTAGCAGGTACTAGCCCCGCCCACCCACCCTCTCGTTTTTTAGAAGATATGTTATCTGCCAAAATCAGTTTTATCTTAGCAGGTACTAGCCCCGCCCACCCATCCTCTCGTTTTTTAGAAGATATGTTATCTGCCAAAATCAGTTTTTTCTTAAAAGTCACTAGATAAAGCGACAGTAAAAAAGTAGCCAACTGGGACGTAAGGAGTCATTTTAAAACCAAAAAATCCAAACAAAAGCGTTGCTAATCTCAAAAAACCTAAGAAATACAGAGCCAACATTTTGATAATTTCTTTACCTCTTGTAGACCAACAAAAGCTATAAAAATGAGTTGAAAAATTATTGTTTGTTGATGTTGCATTTCCCATGTCAGTCAGTATATGTGAGAGTATTATAAAATTTTGCTTTTTGAAAATGTTGCCAAAAAAATTCCCAAATAATTGTGGATACAGATTTCGTCGTGCTGATTCTAAAAATATAGCGTATTTATGCCTTTGGTGGAAAATTTTGAAAAAAATAATCAATTTGAAATATGTTTCTATTACACCCAAAAAATTGCAAAATTTCAATTATCTTCTTAGAGGGTATGGCATTTGTCAAAATCAGTCTTTTCTTAGCAAGTACTAGTAACAACAAAAAAGTTAGAAACATTGAAGAATAAATTTTAGAAAAAAAATAGAAGAGTGCAAATGAAATGAAACAAATTGTCGAAAAATGCCTGAAATTTTCAAAAATGAGGGTAGCTACTGAAAAATTTTGATTCTGTTAGAAAATGTTTTTACAAAATTTTGAAAAGATATGACCTGAACACCTATCTCATAGCCTAAGAACGTTTCTTCCTAGACGATATTTTTCCTTGGATTTAAAAAATTCCAACAACGATTCACACGTTGTCAAAATATGTAATAAAAAATGAGTGACAACATTTTAAAAGAAAGTGATCACATGCACATCAGCTCTTTGAAGAAATCAGGTCAACGAATTTGTTTAATTTAGCAACTTCTGAAAGTGACGACTCTATATTTAAATGCATTTTTGGAAAATCTGTGACGAGTTTTTTCTGAATGTCGTTATAGTTAGTTAAACTACACTAGATTACAAAGCTCGTAATTGTCTAGACAATTTGGTAGCGTTGTCAAAAATGTTGCCGTAAATGACACCAAACCCACAAACTAGTTCCGTATGCTAAAATTAGACACATAACATCTGATTTTCCACGAGTTACCCAACTAATGGGTGCGATGAGTGAAATGTTGCAGCATGACAATTTGCGCAAAATCTTTCGCCACAGACAACCGTGTCTAAGTCATTATCATCACAACAAATCCCCACATCTTCCTATTAAAAAACCAACAAAAACTGCAACAAAGCTACATTCAAACAACCTTTTCCTCCTCCACCTCTTACCAAAATCTTTGATGTATTTCTCCAACTTGTCGTTCTCTTCCTGCGACGTTATGCTGGCTAGATGCATGCCGTGAAATCTGCAATACTGTGTAGCTCGAAAGTAGTTTGCCTGCGGATGGAAAATCGAAATTATTAGTAATAGATTTCACAACGTTGCCGCTTACACCACATTATTCATTCAAGCGCCAAAAAGAGGAATTAAACCCAAATAATCATAGCACCTGCTTAACGAATTTTCATAATAACCAGTTCGTTGTTTGTTAATGCGCGATTTTCACGATAGTGTTGGAATATTCATAGAAAGCGATTAATGGGTGTCGAAAATGTTCGTTCGGACTAGCTGGGGGCCGAATGGACAAATCGTTGCAAAAATGTTACTTATGGAGACGTTTGTTAGCACCTCGCGGGGGAGCTTCACACGATTTGGACAATACGACGAAATTAGACACTTTCACTTTCACCAGATTTACGTAGATTTGGTCAGTGCGTTTTACCAAAAAAGCCGACACTTGCTAATTAATTGGCGACAGACAATGCGCGCTTTTGAACGATTCCCACAGCGCGCATCTTCGTGACCATTCTTTACATACTAGAGTACCTATATTTGGTCTAAATGTTAAGCATTTTTACTATAATGCATTCGACCTCGTCAAAACCGCTTCTTGGATGCCTCCGATGGCACAAATACTTAGGAACCAGTTGCGTTACAGCGCGAAAAAAAATTTCACATGTAATCCCCCACCTAGACCCCAGAAATGTTAATTTATTTAAGAGCTATTTACCGTGGGGTCTGTTTCCGTATTCTTATCGCCTGACGTCACTCGATTCATTAAACCGTGCGTATTCATTCTGTCTTCAGAAACTACTTTTCTTATTACTGATTTATGGGTAGGTGGCGGAATTGCAAAGATTTTAATTGTGGAATTTGTACTTAGTTATTTTAAAAAATGTATGCGTTTTGTGACATTTCGAAAAATTCACGGTAACGGGAAGTGCTGCTTACACGTGTCGGATTTTGGCTGCATTTGGTGATGTTGGTGGTCATCGTTGGCAGCCTTGACCACTTTTTTAGTGGGTTTTAAACGTTGGTAAAACAGCGTGTGGCGAATTTTAGTGCTTTACTTTAATTAAGCGAGCCGATCAAAACTTGTGGAGGTATAATGTAATCGACACAAAATTAATTAATTAGGGAGGGCTTTCCAGTGCGTGCAGTGAGCTAGATCAGCTCGTTTTGTAATTACGATTCTCATTTGGTGTGTTTTATTGGGAATAAATGCAAAACTGGAATCTGCAGATGATAATAAAAACAAATGCCCGCACACGTGTATATAATTACACAGTTGGCGAAATTTGCATAATTTCAGGGTTCATTTTTAGAAGGAGAGCGAACTGTAATTTATTCTTTAATTATTTACTACACTATTGGAACGATTTTTAAATCTCTCAAACTCCTAACATTTGGATAACTGATAAGTGACAACAAAATACGACGTGGAGAGCACATTTGTTTGATTTACCGAGCTAAGAAAAATTTCCATAATTTCTTTTCAAACAGCATGAACAACTTAATTTCTAGGAAATCATGATTTATTGTTTTTATTTTTTCGACAACAAGGTTTGATAAATTACTTTATTATAATATTGTATAATAAATTAATTTATAACTTATAATTCATATAGTATAATAATTTTTAATTAACCAAAAAAAATAATAAGAAAAAACCTAATCCGCTCATAAAACTGGTTCATTCCTTGATCATTTTATGACAACAATTATGTAAATATGTTTATATTTTTTATTTATAAACATGAACTAAATATAAACAGAAATCTTTAGAGTTTTTAAGTCCATCAAAAGTCAAAAACTTCTAAAACGTTTTCACTTAAAAAAAGAAAATTTCAGTAGAGCTTTTTTATTTTTGAAAATCTGCTCGAATATCGAAAAATTATTTTGAAAAAAATTTGGGTCAAATCTGTTTCTTGGTTCGAATTCAGCCCAGGGATTCATGGATCCGGACCCAGATACCGGATTTTGTAAAAGTGAAAACCCGGAGCGCATCCGGAGCTGACCCGGATTTGAAAATAACCCGATTGCTTGAAAATTTTGAACTTGTGGTTCTGTTTTGATAATAATAACAACAATTAAAGTGAATACACTTTGCTGAAACTACCAAATAAATTCAAAGCGTCAACTGTTAAGTAATAAAATAATAAATAAATAAAATGCTGATACCTTCAGGACACAATTAATTCAATTTAAAGTCGGTTGTGAAATAAATCGCAGGAATTTATTTAAAAAAATATTGCGTTTTTATGTAATGATATTTGAGACATAAAATATGGTAGTTGTCTGAAAGCAGATAATTGTTTGTGGAAATAATGGTAAAAAATCAATTAAATTCACATCAGAATTATTATGATGTTGATTTCTCAACTTTGAAGTTTATTATTTTAAAAAATTTGGTTTTGGGATAATTTTTTTTGGAATTCTTTAGAACCCTCTTCACACCGTACCATCGAGCTTATCCGTCATTTTTTGATCCTTCTGTATATATAGTATAAAACACAAAAATTGTGTGATCACTATACACATATATAAAAGTGTTATCTTTCATTTAGCGATTCTGGAAAAATTGTTAGAATTTTCGAAAAACTGAGGCCAAGAATAACTTCTACAAGTCAAAATATTCAACAAAATGTCTGTGGGCAATTTTCGAATGGTACTCTAAAAATAGTTAAAAAAAATCACATAGCGGTTTAATGGTCCCGGAGCAGAATTTTCTAAAAATCTTTTTTTTAATTATGTTTGTATTTCGAAAATTGTCATTTTGCTTTCTGTCGATTCTCGAAATAAGGCCAAAAATAACTTCTAAAAACGGTCAAAAAATTCATACTCATATTGAAAAATTGGTCGAAAGTTGTTTCAACAGAATATCCCTCGCTCCTGAAGTAGATTGAAACCAAAAATAAACAGCCAATTAGATTTAGGAATTTAACTGGTTATTATGGCAATTTGTAATTTAACACTTTTTAAATTTAACAAGTTTTTACAAGATTAAGAGGCAAAATCAATCTTATTTTAGAAAGTACCAGCCCCGCCCACCCGCCCCCTATTTTCTCAGAGGGTATGTTATTTGCCAAAATAAATCTTATCTTAGCAAGTACTAACACCGCCCACCCGCCCTCTATTTTCTTAAAAGGTATGTGATTTGCCAAAATGCTAACATTTGCTAAGATAAGACTGATTTTGGCAAATGACATATCATCTGAGAAAATAGGGGGCACATCTAAAAAATATGAATGCAATAATAAATCATAAGTGAAAACTTTTTTTTGTACATTTTGGGTAGTATTCGGTAAAATTTTGAGATGACGTCAACAATTTCTTGGAGGGAATAAGTAAATATATTTTGATTAAAAATTTATTATGCTTATCATAACTTTAAAATATTTGCAAGATTTCAAAGCACTTGGTTTTGCAGATTCAAAATTAAATTTTGAAACGTTGTTTTATATTTTTGATTTTTTTTCCAAAAATCTGGATGTTTCGGGTAAAAACTCAAGACGAAGTCGTAAACTACATGTGGAGGACTATGTTATTTTATATAATTTAAAACCCATTTACTATATAAATACAAAATTTGACCCAGTACTTTTGGAGATTATCTGTCTAATAAAATTCCGGGACGGCCGACAGACGGATAGACGGACGGACAGACAGACAGACACAGAAACGGGCGACCTATTCCTTTGTACTCTAGGGGTCATGAAAGGTCGAGAAAACGTAAAAATTGGGAGTCGGCTGACGGATTCGAAGCAATATTTCCTTCGCTTACGCTCGCGAAGTAAAAATAGACATTTTTGAAAAGTTACTAAAAAATCCTCAAAAACTTCTTCTATATTGATGTCGACGAGGTGAATCAAATTTTTTTTTGTTTGAAAAATTGTATACAATTTCTTTTAAAATTTCGAAAATTGTCATATTTCATTTATCGATTCTGGAAAAATCGTTGGAATTCTCGAAAAACTGAAGTCGAAAATAACTTCTAGTCGAAATCTACAAGAAATTTTCTTTGGTAATTTTCGAATTGTGTCCTAAAAACAGTCAAAAAATGTATGTTTCAATTGAAAAATAAAAAATTTTAAAAAGTTGTCAACAAATTGTGGGAAATAGACCTCGACGAGCTGATGCTAAATCCATGATGTTTTAATGGCTCCGGCCCTGGACTTTCCAAAAATTCAGGTTGAAAATGATTTCTTTTTAATTATGTTGATATTTCGAAAATTGTCATTTTTCAATCTAACGTTTTTGGAAAAATTGCTGGAATTTTTGGAAGAAATGAACCCAAAAATAATTTCTCCAAATCGAAATTTACAAGGAAATATGTTTCGATAAATTTTCGAAGGGTGCTCAAAAACGGTCAAAAAATTCACACCTATATTGAAATACTTATATTTTTGAAAAATTACTAAAAAATCCTCAAAACTTCTCCTGGATAGATCTGTACGAGCTGAAAAACGTAACCTGTTTTTCAAATCAAAATTTTTTTGTTTGAAAAATTTGGTTTGAATTTTTTTAAAATTTCGAAAATTGACATTTTATTTATCAATTCTGAAAAAATCGTTGGAATTTTCAAAAAACTGAGGCTGAGAATAACTTCTACTAATCGAAATCTATAAGAAAATGTCTTCAATTTTCGAATCGTGCCCAAAAAACAGTTAAAAAGATATAATTTTTTTATACTTTTCAATTGAAAAATTACAAATTTTTAATAGTTTAATAGCCAAAAAAATTGTGAGTTATAGACTCGAAGAGGGGATTCTAAAATCACAACATTTTAATTGACCCAAACCCGAATTTTCGAAAATTTCTTTTGGAAATTTTTTTTTTTAATTATGCTGTTATTTCGAAAATTGTCATTTTTCATTCTAACAATGTTGAAAAAATTGCCGGAATTTTCGAAGAAATGAAGCCAAAAATAACTTCTCCAAATCGAAATTTACAAGGAAATATCTTTCGGTAATTTTCGAAGGGTGCTCAAAAACGCTAAAAAAATTGAAATCCATACTGAAAAACTTGGATTTTTGAAAAGTTACTAAAAAAATCTT